CACACAAGAAAAGTAATATTAGCTCGCTCTCTCTCTCTCTCTCTCTCTCTCTCTCTCTCTCTCACACACACACACACACAAAAAAAAAACATGATTCGGACCCAAAAAATGGAAAAGGAAGATTAACTAACCAGCTTCTCACAAAATTGAGCAAGCTCTGCTTCGAATTTGGGAACATAGTTGTCATGTCTTGGTGACTTCTCAAAGCTGAATTCACAAATAAACAGACTAATGTTAGAAAAAGATCTACAAAGACGACATGGCCCTAGCCTACAACTACTAGAATCAAGTCCAGATCAGATTGTTGCCTCATAGAACAAGTCAACCACTCCTCGAATTTCCTTCTTTTACTCAATGGCCACTTTGAACATGTACGCTGGACATTCAAATATAAAACAAGTGGATCAAGACAAAAGTCCTTTAGTTTCCATTTGACGCCAGATCTGTTATAAATTTGATTTCAATGTTTGGCAATCCTTGGTTCAGTATGAACTTCTCCATGAATATAAGAGAACAAGAGGTCAGCCAATAAAGTGAAATAATAACTTTAACTAATTTCATCAATATATGCCATCAATCCAAAGTTCCAAATATTCCACAATCCAGGGGCCCTATAAAACCCCTTGCACTTCAAGATAATTTACTGAATAACCCTACCATCATAACCCACAAAGTCCCCAGTGCCTCTTTGTCAAAAACTACTAGTACATTCACCATTGCTGGATCACATTTCAATCCACAAACAAACAAACTTCTTCTCTCTTACACTATATTCCAGTGTCCTGTTTTCCCTCAACCTTCGTCCACACCACAACCCATACAATTCTTTTGCGGAAAAACTTCCTAACAAAGCATAATATTCACTTAATAATCCCATCCCACAGTAAACAGTTGTTTACTAGGATAAAGAAAACAATGATAGCATTTAAAAGGGTAACCTCTCCAACAAAAACTACCAAAAGAAAATAGTTTGAGTGGTAAAGGTTAGAGTAAGGAAGAACTATCACTAAATAATGCAGGGAGACATAAAGATGGACAAATTGAAACCTGACATGATTTTTTTTTTAACTAACCAGTACTAACCTGACATAATTGTATCTACTATCCAATAATGACCATAGTAGTTTAATAAGAGCATTTGGAATTTCATCATTTTTCTTCAAGTTTTCATCACATTCCTATTTCAAGAGTCACTGAAGAGTTTGAATCACACTTCGCTTCATAGAAGAATTTAGAGGCAAAGGGACCTTATTACGATTTTGCTCTTTCCTTTGAATGATTTGCCATCTTATACCTTAAAGAATCAAGAGATTCACAAACTTCAAAAAATGACATGATTGCAAAAATCTGAGAAAATTTAGAACCTTGGAAGAGACAATACGCATGGGCTTACTTTCCACTGCCCAAAACTCCTACAAAATAGGCCTCAATAAAATTAAAACACCTACAGTAAGTTACATAGCACAACTATCAGGTATAAGGAAAAGGAGGTTTTATTTAATTTCCTTAACTAAGACCTCCTCATCTTTGTCGAATTCAGTAAAGAAAAAAAGAAAAAAAAAGGGGTAAAGATGACATAAGGTGCAATGGATGACATTTTTGGGTTCAGAAATCTCTAGAATGCAAATGCACTGTTGTAAAACACAAAGAGCAAACATGTCTTCCATTGTAGGGTTATTGGATACTAAACAAAACAGTTTATTTATTCAAACTTTATCCTAAAAACTGCACCCCCAGAAACACATTAATATCAAATAGGATTAAAAACAATTTATATACCTTCAGAAAACCTCCATGAAATGAGATTACTTCCCAGAAATGATCAAGAGGAAGCAACTGGCTGATACCACTTCAGAGAATATAGAGAAGTGAACAATTTCTGCTTGCCTCCTAATGACTGCTACTCATCAATGGAATGTTAAAAGAACTTGATCATGACTTGGGTATACTTTTACATAATACGAACTGAGGTTTATAATTTAGATATCGGCAACATTCGTATATGCAGGAATCACATAGCAAACAATAGAAGAGTGTGCTTTATATAAGGTCTCAACCTTAAACAATCAAAGTAGGATGTGCCTCAAAACCATGTTGGAAGATGCAGATACAACGTCGAAACTCCAATGATGGCCTACAATCTATTTTCATTGCTAATTATGAAATTCAATGCTCCAAAAATGGTGCAAATCAAGCATATCTATAAATAGTTGACAATTTTGAAAATGGACAGTCCAAATAATATGCTACAAGGTGCACTATTTTCAGGTTTTGAAATCAATTTCTTTCATATCCATAAATCTCGAGGTCAACAGGGTTTTCCAATGTCAGAACTCAGAACCACCTTTTCTTATGGGTTTTTGAGGTGCACATTACTTCTATGGTACAAGGTTGACACCTCATAAACTTTTCCATGAAACCAGCCACTTAAACAAAAAAAAAACGAAAGCACTTTTTGGTAGCTACACATTAAAGCCTTTCAGGTGCCCCCCCTGGCACTGGAAATTGAAACTGCACATGATAGAATGCTATAGCTGTAACAAAAATTGCTCTCGACGGTCGAATACCGATGCTTCCCCAAATAGTAAAGCTCAAATAAGCCTCTAAAGGGCAACCATCATCCGCCATATTAAAAAGCAATACGCCCTAGATAGTACAATATTTCGTTTCTTTTATGATTATATTTCCATTGATAGAAATGAGAGTTGCCAAGTCTCTTTCGTAATATACAGAGCTACAGTACTCTCCGATTATAGACTATTCTTAGAAGTTAGGTAGAGATCATCAATAACACATTAACATAAGTTTCAGTCTCCTGCTTATGTTTGAAGAGGATAGTTATCATTGTTAGCAGCGCTTAATCTTTTAATTGTTATCATCAATGGTCAAAGTCTTGAAGATTGATTCGGGAGGAAACAACCCATGGATGGTATATGAAACTGAATGTGCAAGTTGCAATGGAAACGTTCCCACAGAAGGGAGAGATACCATTCCCCCTTCCAGGGAAGGAGGCGACTTGAAAAGCTTTAGAGCAGTTACCTCAAAGGCAAAACCTGCAATAGCCAGAACTCCAAAGATCTTAAAAAGCACGCCAGTAACTCATATTAAGTTCCCTCCTACACCAAACATATAAAGAAGGCAACAACTTACTCAACTAAATTCATGGGAAAAAAGTAAAGTGAAATGCATGCATTGGGATTATTTTATCTAGAAGGTGCAAAATAACAAGTGTGTATTTAGATAGCACAAGTTCAAAAATATGCATCCATGCTTCAACACCTAATTATGTACAAATAAATTAAAAAAACAAAAAAAAAAGGTCCAGAATACACACTTTTGCAACTCCTTCAGGAAAAAAATTCGAACTTTTGCAATTCCATTCTACCATAACTCTTGAAAACATATTTACGAAAATGGGTAAGTGTAATTACCTCTCCTTCAGTTTCAAATCATGAATTCTAGGGCATGCTCCTGCATGACACAATAAAGTAATGTCAAGAAGGAGTAAAAGTGGGAGAAAATAAGGCCATGCATGAAAAATGCCACCCTAAATTACTTGGGAAAATATGCTGTAAATACATATCCCAAGACCAAAGCATGTAAAATAAAATAAAAAACTGAGGTATTACTACCACATCATAGCATTGTGAGAATCAGTAATATCAGACACATAAAGAGGTCGGATCAGTTAGAACTGATTTTTCCTCTAGGAGCTTATGTTTAATAGAGTGAACAGGCATGGTGGGATGAGAGATTTCGTTCATCCTCGAGGCAATGTGAGAGTGCTTGCAATGTATCAGGTTGTATGACCCTCAAAAAGGTGAGAAGGCATTTGAAAATGGGTCACTTAATCTCGGTTAGGACAATTCTACACCAGGTGATGGGTCACTTAATCTCGGTTAGGACAATTCTACACCAGGTGATTAGAAAACTTACATACCAAGTTTGTTATCATGGAAATGATGGTTGAGAGCTCTCCAGTGAATAAGGAGAGGGAAGTGGACAATTCTCCTCGAAGCTTCAATTCGGATGCAGCTCAGGGTGGAGGCTGTTGGCCTTCAAGGAAGGATTCTTAGAAGATTTTTTTTTTTTTGAAAATAGGATTCTTAGAAGATATTGGAAATTGCTGCAGATAATAAAACCTCCATGCGTGGGAGAGGAGTTGGAAAATTTCTAAAGGGAGGGGCAATAGAAGGGTCAAACATAATTAGAAAGGCAAGGCCCCTAGAACTTAGTAGCACGAACTTGTACGTGCTGGTCTTCCATTTCCAAAGCTAGCAGCTCTATATAGATTCAAAGGCTATCCTGATAGGGAATTTATTAATTGATCAATCCCACTCCCATATTTGCTCCTTCCATTCATGTTCCCTGAGAGTTTCTAACAACTAAGGAGGCAAAAGATCAAGGTAAGGGGTTGAATGAGAAAGTGTCCTCTACTAATGAAGTTTGGACTTTAGGCGAATCAAATGAATATGCCAAGCATACACAAAAATTAGTCAAAAAGGGCCAAGTGCCACTTCATGACAAGGTTATAATCGTCAACTAGGTTTCCAATCAATTTTTGTTGCCTCTTATACTATTAAAAGCAATAACCATGAATGTGCAGGAAGTAATAGAGCTGAGAACTTACCAAGGTCACTCTTCGTGTTAACAAACAAATCATGTGGGCAAAACCGAACCATGTAGAAAGCACAGACTTCCTTATCATCCCAGCATACCTCCTTGTATCCCTTCTTCTCTTCCTCAGTAAGATTACGAGCTAACGAACAAAACATAAACCAACAAGTAATATTATCAGAAAAAGAGAAAGGAAAAAGTTAACTTTCTAAACAAAGTCGAGCAAAACATCAATACCCACCACACAATCATAACCATCAAATTTTTACAACAATTAGGAGAAAGTAGTACTTCATGAATGCAACAAATAATAGTTTTCATAACATCAATGCTATTTCTAGCCCATAATCATATGCCTAACAATCTCAGTATACATCCTGAAAAGAGGAAAATGATCACCACAAGGCAAAATTCTAATCAAACACTAGAGAAAAAAAATGGCAAACAATACAAGCACCACACCAAGGATGATCCAAGTGCACAAGAATCACTGGAACTCTAGCTATTCATTTGAAGACGTTGCAATAAATAAATAATTAAATAACCTCCAAATTCTATCTTTTATTAACAGGAATAGAAAAACTTCTCTTAACATTACAATCTATATGCGATTATTCAACTCTTATGTAACTAGCAGGCCATTGAACTTGAATCCTGTTCACTATCCAACAATACTACAGAAAAATGGCGTTGTAAATGAGATTCAAGAAGAAACAGAAACTTGAAAGTGAACAATTTACTTTTATATAACGCAGAAAACAAACCCATGAAGTCATTGAACTTCAGTCCTGTTCACTATCCAACAATACTACAGAAAGATGGCATTGTCAATGAGATTCAAGAAGAAACAGAAACTTGAAAGCGATCAATTTACTTTTATATAACGCAAAGAACAAACCAATGAAGCCAATTGTAACAATTAATGCAAAGTCACAAACTTTGGTGCAACTAATTCACCCTAAAATTGCATAGAATGAAACAATAAATGAGTTCTTTATCCTTTGTTTCCTAACGAAGAGGAGAAATGAAAGGGCAGAAGAAGAAGAATCCCCAACTCCCCCTCAGCTGGAACCAGATCTATGATCTGTATCCCAAAACCCATCCACCGCCACCACGTCCTCCTCCCTTGGCCTTTCCTCCTCCCCCTCCCGAGCCAGCTTTATTGGTAGCAAACCACCCCCAGAAAGCCTCGTTTTCCCAGGTTGTAGCATCTGTGAAATCTACAACCACCACCCTGCTTACCCCCTCTTTGCCCCCCGAGTGGAAACTGCTGCACAAAAGACAGTTCCTCGTTCCTCCCTTTCTGTATTTCAACCCCTCAAAAGGAGACAGCGAAACTTAGATCCAAGCTATTGGCGTCTCTGGTAGGAAGGTTCCAACCCCGACGAGATGACATTAGAGGTATTGAAAGATGGGCTTAACGCTTTTGGGGGGAGTAAAACCTCACCTATAGACAACTCTCTAACGGGGATATCCTCTTCTCTTTCCCATCTCCAGTTAACGCTCAACGCGTTCTACAGGAAGCTAACACCCTTACGTTCAAAGTGGCATCTTGTCTCCTTCGTGTCAGGTCGCCCAAAGGGGCATCTTTTAGGAAACAAAGAGTTTGGCTTACCCTAGACCATATCCCTCTTCATGGGTGGTCTCCAGCAACCTTCAGGACAGTGGCGGAAGCCTGCGGACTGTTGGTTTCCATCCACTGGATTTCTCTTAAGTCGCTCCCTCTCGGCTCCATTCGTGTCCTTTCGGCAGTTCGGGACACTAGCCTCATCCCTCAAACTGTCTGGCTTGAAGTAGACGATCTCCACTTCCCAATCTCAATCTCTTGGTCGACAGCTTCCCCCCCATCTCCTCACTTTCTCGCCAACGCAAGAGGCACCACCGGTGACCTCCCGACCTAGCCCCCCGTCAAAGCGCACCACCAAGGTCACCAACCCCATCCACTACGGGCCGCCAAGTGGCACCCACATATCAACTCCCTCAATCAGTCCAAGCAGAGGGGGCTGCGTCCACACCGACCTTTCGCGGTCATCCCCTGTCGTTTCCCCTTCCCACCCTCACCGACTCGGGAAGGAAGTCATGGTGGACTCTTCTCTTGTGTCTCTATCCCCTGACTATCACGAGAGACCCGGCCTGTCTTTCTCGAACCTTCCCACTTTCCCGCTTACATCCTTAACACCTGCGCCCCCCTCTTTAATCCCTCCCTGCCCCCTCTCTGTTCAGCCCGATATGTGTCTTCCTTAGCCGAACCCCCAACCTCACCTGCCGCTTTCGTCGGCCCTCCCAGACCACATGTCACCCTCACCACCCGTCCCGGTACACCTGTCCCCATCGCCCTCTTCCCCAAACCTTTTCCCACCCAAGCCCTTGGCCCCCTCGCCGCCTTTCCTTTCAATTCAACCACCCCGTCTACCTACCCCCTCCCACCTGTCGCCTCTCGAAGCATCACCCCCAGGTCTCCCTCCTCATGATGGCGACACCTGGTCTTGCTTCCCTCTCCCTCACCCTCAACCTTAGTTGACCTTGCTCGGCTCTCCACTTTCCTCCCCCCCTGTCACCCCCCAGGCTTCTTTTCTCAAGACCTTCTCCCTAACCCCTCAAAACCTTGAAGCCCTCTCTGCTACCTCCCTACCCTCGACGAACCCTGACCTGGAACCTGTCCTCTGGCCCCTTACCCCTCTTCCTCTTCCACCTCGGTTAACCTTTCTCTTTTACCCCTGCAACCCTTGTCCTTTACTAGCTCTCCTCCTCCCCCCCCCCCCCCTCCCCCATTGCCCCTGACTTTCCTCCCCCTCAACCTTGCAAAACTCTCTGAACCAGCTCAAATGCACAAGCAGTCAGATGACCCAACTCAATACGAAAAAATGGACAGGCACCTATGGCATTGTAGCGGTTAACTCCATGGACCACTCTCCCCCTGACCCAACTTTTATCTCTTCCTTGCTAGCCCCTCACCTTTCTTATACCCCCCACTTGGTCCATATCACAGGTTCGCACCCTGCATATTGCCTTGCCTTCCCCCTCTCCGTTGAATTACCCCCTTGTTATCTCAATCCAGGCCTACCACTTTCTCACCTACCTCCCCTCTTTCACTTTTGGAAACCCCCCCTAGTTACCCCTTCCTTCACCCCTCCCCTCTCCCCTCCCCCCTATGCCCAGCCATCTTCTCTTTCGAACCGTACCCAGGGGCTGCCCAACTCTTGCCCCCCTACCCCCTCTTAACTGCCTCTTGTGTCTCTGCTCCCTTCCCCCTCTCCCTCCTCTTTGATAACTCCTAGCTCTGCTTTTCTCCCTTTGCCTACCCCTGCCAACCTTGAGCCTCTCCCTACTCTGCCCCCAGATCTCTAGCCCATCAACCCAACCTCGCTTTTGTCTAACCCCGAAGTAGTGTCGACCGAGTCACGTGGAGAACCCATCTCTCCCTCTGCGGCCCTCGACAACGCCAAGGAAGTCGACGGGGATGGGACAAACAGGGAAGAGGACAGAATGAAAGAAATGTACAGGATAATGAGGTTTCAACATGATGGCCTCGAAGGACCAGCTCACAAATTTCTACTAGCAGACGCACAGAGTCGACTGAAGGTGAGTTTCAAAGGACAGCGAGAACTACTGAACTTGTTCTCCACCATTTCCTATGAGGAATAGTCTACAGGCGGCTTCCAACCCTCTTCTCCCACCACTCGTCTGAGAAGGTCTTCCGAACTGACCTCCTCTCATACCTCAGATCTATGAAGATTCTTACGTGAAATGTAAGAGGTTTGGGACAGTCGTCCAAAAGGGACGCTGTCAAGGATTTTACCTCAAAACACCTTCCTACGATTATTGCTCTCATCGAAACTGAACAACCAGAGTCCACTCTCCAGCTCATACGCCAGGTGTGGGGTAGAAGACCTTGCCAGTGGGTCTCTCTGCCGGCGAATGGGGCTTCAAGGGGCATCTTGGTGGTCTGGAACCCTTTAGATCACACCCTCAACTCCTTCCATTTAGGGCAGTTTTCCGTCACTGTACACCTTTCAATTACATCAGACAGTTTCCCTTGGAAATTTACGGCCATCTATGGCCCCAATTCAGCCTCTCTCAGGCACAGGCTCTGGTCAGAATTGGACCACGTAGCGTCCCTGCCCCACGCAATTTGGTGCATGGAAGGAGACTTTAACGCCACCAGGTGGTCCGATGAGAGGAACTCCTCCACCACTATCTCTCAAGACATGAGGGACTTCTCTGACTTCATTAATCGAAATGAACTCCTAGACATTCCACTTCAAGGAATGTCATTAAACGCGGTTCAACCATGCTCCCAAACCTTGCCTTTCTAAATTAGATAGATTCCTCCTATCCTTGCACTGGGGGGAACACTTCCGAGATCTCATGCTTTGGCTTTACCCAAACCTACCTCTGACCATTGCCCCATCTTTCTAGATACCCTTGCAGTAAGGAGAGGTCCTAAACCTTTCAGATTTGAATTAGCTTGGCTTCAAGAGGAGTCCCTCTTTACCCTAATCCCAACCTAGTGGAACTCCTTCTCCTCCCAGGCCACGGGTTGAGAAGGTATAGACTCCAGACCAAAATCCAGCTCCTCAAAGCCTCTCTCAAACCTTGGAGTAGCTCCGTCCCTAGTAATTACTCCCAAATCAAATCGTCCCTTCTAGAAACTATTCAAGACCATGACCTTCTCGAGGAATCCAGATCCCTGAATGCCACATAGCTGGATCTTACAACCAAAACCAAATTGGAATACCTCTCAACCCTCAAAAAAGAAGAACTTTACTGGTTCTAAAGATCAAGAGTAAATTGGTTGAGAGTGGGTGACCATAATACAGTCTTCCATCGGATAGCTAATTGTCGCAGAAGAGACAATATTATCTCGATGACCAAATCTAACAACCACTACCTGGTTCAACCAGAAGAAATCGAGCTGGCAATCCTAGAGTTCTTTCAGACTCTGTATGCAGCTCCTTCTAGCCCAAGACCGAGAATGACTACTCTTGATTTCTTAACCCTCCCAGAAGACCCGGCTGTTTGGCTAGAGCAACCTTTCACCAAAGTAGAATTTTTACAAGCTCTCGATGCCCTAGCCAAAAATAAAGCCCCCGGTCCAGACGGATCTCCGATAGCACCCTTTAAAGTATTCTAGGATACTCACCAGGTTTTTTGAGGAATTCTTCCACCAGGGAACTCTTCATTAAGCCATCAATGCCACCTTCATAGCCCTTATCCCCAAAGTTGAAGGGGCAGAGGAAATCAAGGATTTCCGCCCGATCAGCCTACTTAACTCTTTTTACAAAATTCTGATCAAAGTCCTGGCCTCAAGGCTACAACAAGTCCCTTTGATCATCTCACCATCTCAGACAGCCTTCATCCAAGATGGGCAAATCCTAGATGGAGCCTTAGTGGCTCACGAGTGCATCCACTCGAGGCACTTAGCAAAGAAACCAGGCCTCATCTTCAAAATTGAATGGGAGAAAGCATACAACGACGTTGATTGGTCGATTCTGGAGGAGCCTATGGCAATAATGGCTTTCCGGGACCATTGGAGGAGGTGGATGAGAGGATGCTACTCTCATCCTCACTTCTCAATCCTCATCAATGTAACCCCAAAAGGCTTTTTCCCTTCCTCGAGGGGACTTCGCCAAGGGGACCCTCTCTCCCCCATTTCGTTATCACAGCGGAAGTCTTCAGCCGTTCGATTACCCTTTACCAAGCAGGCTTACTCTCCGGCTTCAAGAGGAGTCCCCATGGCCCAACAATGTCTCACCTGCAATATGCAGATGACACCTTGGTGTTCCTTGACGCCTCTCCTAGAGAAGTAGACACCCTCAAGCTTTTTCTTAAATGCTTCCAAGTAGTCGAAGTTAACATGGAAAAATCTAAAATGATGGGAGTCGCTCAAACGAATGCAGAAATAAGAGCGTTCATTCCTAATTGGGAGTGCAAAGCGCAAGATCTCCCCACAACCTACCTAGGTCTTCCACTGGGACTGGGGAAGCCAAAAAAGAGACAATGGTCTCATGTAATAGATAGGTTTGATAGGCGTTTGGCAGAATGGAAAGGTCGTTACCTTTCTTTGGCAGGTAGAGCCACCCTGGCAAATTCTCAGGTTTATCTCATGTCCCTTTTCAACATGCCGTCCTTGGTGGCCAATCACCTGAAACAGCTCATGAGAAACTTCCTCTGGTCAAATTGGGCGGAAAAGACAAAATTTCACCTAGTATCATGGGATAAGATTTGTCTTCCTAAACACCTGGGAGGACTTGGGATTTGGGCCCCTAGAAAACATAACTTGGCACTTCTAGGGAAATGGTGGTGGCGTCTAGCTACTCAGCCAGACTCTCTTTGGGCCCAGACTCTCTTTGGGCCCCGGTCTTACACAGAAAATATAGAATCCCGGAAGGAGCCTAGGTGCCAAAAAGGAGACAACTCCACAGAGCATCAGAAGCATGGAAATCTTTCGCCTCCTCCCTCTCACAATTGAAAAGGTACATCAGATTTCATCGAAGAGAAGGTACTAGAGTGCGTTTCTGGTCAGATCTATGGCTAGGACACACCCCACTTTGTGATGCCTTTCCAGCCCTCTACATACTCGCCTCGAACAAAGATTCTACCATTGCTGAGGAAATGGTAGTGTCAGGAGGTCGAAGAGTATAGAACCCGTCTTTCAGAAGAAACCTTTCGGAAGAGGAAACCAACCACTTCTAGTCGCTCTCGACAGGCTTACACTCAATCTTCATTTCAACACATGGGAGAGATGCCATGGTTTGGACTTTAGCCCCTTCTGGCACCTTCAAGGTAGTTTCCTTTTATAAGAACCTTACCCAACCCCCCACCTTTCCCCTGAATCCCACCTCGGTACTGTCGCAAGTCTGGTCCACCATCGCCCCACCCAAAGTTCAAACTTTCAATTGGATTGCTGGCTCTCAAAGGGCACTCACAATGGACCATCTCCAAAAGAGAGGGATCTCAATCCCCAATAGATGTGCCTTGTGCCAATGTAAAGAGGAATCCAATCCACACCTGTTTATTCTCTACAATTTCACTCACGAACTTTGAAGCCAAGTGTTGCAACTCTTTGGTATCAAATGGGTCACGCCCCCAATGGTCAAGGCCTTGATTTCATATGATCTTGCGTCACACTGGCCGACGGTTGGAAGACCCCAATGGAAGCTACCATAGCCGCTTGTATATGGGTTATCTGGGTGGAAAGAAATACCAGAATTTTTCAAGGTCACAAACTCCACATTTCAGCACTCTTCCACAAGGCAACTTCTTTGGCAACCTTCTGGGCCTCAAACCACAAGGTGTTCTCAGGCATATCAGGGAACACCTTCCTCAGCCAATGGAAGCACATCTTACACCACCAACCGCGAAAGGCTAGCAGTCCAAACAACTGGCTGCCACCACTAGAAGGCACCATCAAGCTCAATTTTGATGGTTGTTCCCTAGGGAACCCAGGCCCAGCAAGAGCGGGGGCCGTCTTCAGAGACCACCACCGCAATATCCTACCTACTCTGAGCATCTTGGCCATAATGATTCTCATTATGCAAAAGGCATGGCCCTACTACTGGGTCTGAAAAACTTCAACCGTTCCTGGGTTTCACACCTGTTAGTAGACTGGGACACAATATATTCTCCATTGGCCAACAGGGACGACAACACCACCGTGGCACCTAGCCTCAATTTTTAATGAAATTGCTCACATTTGCAGGGATACGAACGTCTCTTGGAAGCATAATGCCCACAGATCTCTTGACGAAAGAGAGAGTGGAAGAACACGGCTGGTCCTACTCCTTTTTTGTTCTGGACCACAGCCACACTATATAGACTTTTTTGTATTCGGGCAATCTTTCAGCCCTTGGTTTTTTTTTTTTTTTTCTTTTTTTTTTTTTTTGAAAACTTCTTGTATATATCTTTGTAATCGGACGGGTTCTATACACCCATTTTTATACATGGCTGGTTGATTCATTTTTTACCGAGAGATTGCTTGAGGGCGCTCTCGGATCATCTTATCTCTGTAATTTATCTTTTCTCAGTAATACAAAGTTAACTTTATCAAAAAAAAAAAATGAGTTCTTTCCATATAGATAGAGAGAGAGTGTTACCGGCACCCATTAGCTCATCTAGCAAAGCCCTTTGAGCATCCATCGCAAACGACCAAGGAAAACAAAGACAAGCTTCTATTGAAAGATTTCACCTTCAAAACACCAAGACTACAGTTCAAAATACTAGAAGAAAACAGCAGATTGAAATCAACAAATATGAAGAGGAAATTCTTACTAAGAATGAAAACAGCGCCGAATTACTGTAACCGTATCAATGGAAACCCTAATTTATAAAGAGAGGAGATGAACCCGAAATACCCTATGTTCGAGAGAACAGTGGACTCCTGACGAAGAAGGAGGTGAGCGGATGATGCTTTTTGCGTGGATTCGATCTCGGAAAAATGAATATGAGAGAAGATAGAGAGATAGAAATAACAGAGTAGAGAGAGTGGGGCGAAAAGATGGAAGATCAAAAGCCAGATTAAGAGAGAGCGAGGGTTGTTACTTCAAGGGAACGTGGACTATAATCTCGTGCCTACGCTAAAACTATAGTCATGAGAATCATCGCAATTACATCGGATGATGCAGACCCGGACCTGACCTGACTAAGTTCCATTTCGACCCAAACCAAGGTTTAAAAATTAAAAAAAATTAAAAATTACTGTTGTTGTTGTTGTTGTTGTTTCGACCCAAACCAAGGTTTAAAAATTAAAAAAAAGACTAAGTTCCATTTCGACCCAAACCAAGGTTTAAAAATTAAAAAAAATTAGAAATTATTGTTGTTGTTGTTGTTGTTGTTGTTGTTGTTGTTGTTGTTGTTGTTGTTGTTGTTTCGACCCAAACCAAGGTTTAAAAATTAAAAAAAAACTAGAAATTACTGTTGTTGTATGGGTGCAGGTTGTATAGAGCTGATGCTCTAAACAATCAAAGTAAAGTGCGCCTCAAATAGTGTCGAGAAATGTAGTTTCAATACTGAAAATCTTTATGATAGCTTTCAAATATATTTTCATCTCTAATTATAGACTTTCAAATTTAAAAAATAGTGTAGATAGAGCAAATCTATGAAAAATTGAAAATCTTAAAAATTGACAATCCAAAAATGCATTACAAGATGCACTACTTTCGAAAACTTGAAAATTGACACTCCAAGTCATTTGGACTAGCACCTGACCAACTGGGTCCAAACATGGACCCGGACCCTGTTTGGGCCTGGGTCAGCCGACCCAACCCCATTATCACCCTTAGAGCACCCATGGCATATAACCCTAATGGTCAATGGAGCTGGCAAAGGTTGAGCCATGGCTAGACCAAGCATGAGTAGGGCCACCACGAGTCAGGGCCCATATCCCTAGAGGCCCAGCCCGACCTTGGCTTTGTTTCCAATTGCGCAAGACTTAATGGAAACTCAAAATATAAAAATCAACACAAACATATGAAAAAAAACAAAAAACAAAACAAAACAAGGTATTCAGTCCAAGTTGGCCATAATAGGCCTTGGTCCAAGCTCAGTCCATGCGCAACCCCAGGGACGATGCGGCCTAATCCTCACCAAGCTTTCGGGCAAAGGTTTGTGCCTTTGGGCCTTCTGTTTGATAGGCCAACGTACTAAGCTAGGTCTAGCCGCACAACCCATTGCCAGGCCTTCGGCGGCAGATGGTAGTGTGGCCCATTTGGGTCAAACTTCTACATGCTAGATTTTCTATGAATTGAGTGGGAGTTCTCAAATACAATCAACAGAATTTTAGATTCAGTTTTGATGAATCCAATTTTTGCTTAGGGGGTTGAGTCAGATCAAGTCCGGGTCCAGAACCCGAAAAAAAACTTATTGGACATGGACTTGATTGGACCTAACCCAAAAATAAAATAAAAAAAATGTAAATATATTAAATGTTATGTTAAATATATAATGTATTATTTAAATATTATAACTAAAAATATAGAAAAAATTACGTTAATATCGATTGTACTTTCTGTTATTACGGATATACCTAATAGTTTCCGCTATTACCTGGATGTCCGTTTTTAACCTTTCATAACGTAATTGTTTTAAAAAATACGACTTTACCCTTTTTCGGGTGTTGAACAACCGAATTCAAAGTATTTTCGGTTATTCAACAACTGAAAGCGGGATTAGCTCGTCTAAACTTCCCGCTATGGTTTCAGTTGTTCAACAACCGAAATTACTATTTTCTGTTATTCAACAACTGAAATTACTGTTTTCGATTGTTCAACAACCGAAAACTTGATTTCAGTTGTTGAACAACCGAAATTCTACGGGGCTCGTTTTAAGATACTGGAACTGTTTCTTGGGCTGCACTGGTCCCTATATTTGTTGTTCCCCCCATTTTTCACTCTCTCTTACCTTTCTCACAATCACAATAGCTATTTATATCTAGATATAAGTATTTTGACGGATCATAATTGTATTTGACGTAATTTGAGGGCAATTGACGGATTTCAAATTTGTAGTGAAGGTATGTATAATATGATTTCTTGTTCGATGTTTAGAAGTTAACATTGCATAAGATTGTGATTTAAGGTTTCACACTTGAGTAGAAGCAGTCGATTTAGGGCTTATTTTATGGATTTTACATATCCATAAATGACAATATGTTAGGTTTTTTAAGAAGTGTAATTATTTGGGGTTTTTATAACGGCAAATTTGGGGTTATTTTTAGTTATTGAATGATATACATGAGTTATTGAGTTATGTTTGTTTCTTATTTATTGTTTAAGAATTTTTAAATTTGGGGTTTTTGAGAACTACAAATTTGGGGTTATTGATAACTACAAATTTTGGGGTTTTATTAGAACTCGAAATTAATTCATCTGCAATTTGAAATCAATGACTTAATTTTTTTGTTAAATGTGTTGTTGGATTACATACGAGTTGCAGATGTGTTAGTAAATCCATTTATAGTTTGGCTGGCTATTTACCTTGAATATTTTGCAAATGCTTGTGGGTTTAGGAGTACATAGACAATAAATAACTTTATGCATACTGGCTTTAATATTTTGGATAGAATAATTTGTGAGTAGATTTATTTGAGAGCTCATTTGATATATAAATTTATTATCGCATTCTTATCTTAGAGTAGTATTCTATATGCAAATGCATGATGCAATTTTAAAATGCATGATGAGTTATTGGTGTCTTGATTTCAATTAATATGAGTTGTGTCCACCCAGAGGAGGGGTACCTAGGAGGTCCTCAGGATCCTAGCTTTCTACAGCTTCATCCAGAACATTCATCATATTTTATATGGGAAGAACCGGTACATGCATATATTCATCTACTATTTCCATTAGCTTGTTATTTTTCAATAAATTGTAGTTTGTTTCAATTTCATATGAGAAGTATATGTGTATATATATTGTGACTCGTATGTGTTTTATTTGTTGTATTTCATGAAAAATAAGAAATTCGAATCGATGAGAAGACTTTTCAATTGAGCAATTGGCATCTAACCAATAAGCAACTTCAATTAGTGAACGCGATTGGGTTGGGTGCTCTATCTATCATTTGACCAGGTTGAATTGATCATCCTTTGGTTGCAGCCAATGCAGCGAGGTGGCGTTCAGAGACCGATTCATTCCATTACAACATTCAAATTGGTGAGATGACGCCAATTTTATTTGATGTGTACGAGATTTTAGGATTGGTTGTGGATGGCGAGCATGTTACATGCCGTCCTATTAGTGACATCTATGAGTTTGTAGAAAACAATAGTCCCCACTAGAGGCAACCTGACAACCATAAAACATTCATGGTTGAAGGCTAATTTTAGGGAATTGCCACCTGATGCAACCCCTGTAAAAGTAGTCAGATATGTTCATGCCTATCTACTCTTCCTCATCAGCGTTACCATTTTCGTTGATGCATCAGTTGCAACAGTTCTAACAAGGTACTTGCAATTAGTTGAAGATATTGAAGAAGCTGGCAGATATGCATGGGGTGCTGCAGCCGTCGCCTATTTTTATCGTTCTTGTGGAAAAGCTTGTACTTTCAAGCGAACACATTTTAGTAGTTCAGCCACTCTTATGCAAGTAAATTAAATTTTTGCATAAACATAAGCATAATAGTTTAGACTACTTAGAAAAATATTTTTTACTTATCATAATTTGATATAATGCAGTGCTGGTCTTATGAGCATATTATGCATATGAGGCTCATACCGCATATTATCTCTCCAAATATGCCTATAGCAAAAAGATGGGAGCCACCGAAGAATTATTATGACAATCCACATAATCTGATGCCTCCCATTAAACAAGAATTCGATAACCTCCAACCTAATAGGTTAGTTTGTACTTTGATATTCATTACTTTCAATTATATATAAGTATTTGTAATTCTGTTATTGACTGATTGTCGTATGTGTAATTGTACTTCATATAATAGGTAATATGGAATCCCTATTTCGGGCTTGATGAGGCCATTTTAGATGATAGGTATGCGGCATTCCAAACTGCAATGTGTATAATGACTCTTATTTTTAATGATATTGCTGAGCCATACATGTCAAATTGTATTTGCCGCATTCCTCATATATTGGTAAGAGGTCTAGCAAACAAGGTGGGCAGCGAGATCGGCGAAATGTTGATTATGACAAAATGCATCATTGGTTGTCTTGCCATGAGCACGTAATGGCAGACATTGAAGTCGATACTGCCAATGGGTTGTCCTTAGAGGAGTACAAGGCCTGGTGTAGCCGAGTATCTTATCCTATTATACACAATATCGCTAACCCACCAATAGACATTTTGCAACCTCATAACCAGGAAGAAGAATAGGTGGTTCCTGCACATGAACCACAATATATAATGATACGTCGAGGTTATAAGGATCGGTTGATATGGATATATCAACCTACAAATTGTTTTAGTTTTGTACTTGCCTATCAATTGTATGTTTATATTAACCTACAAAATGTTTTGCAGGTTAGTGCAGTTCAAGCTAGTACAACCATGTTAGCAGAGGCACTTACACTTAGACAGAAGTAGTACCCTGAAGTCTATAATCGCATTAACAACGTGTTTATGTTGTTTAAGTTTGTGCATGTCGACATTAAAGATATAGAAGCCAGGATAAAAAATTTACAATGTAAAGTTAATGACGAAGTGGTACAATAAGAGGGCGGACAAGATGTAGTGGGTGAGAGTAGTCGGACTGCAGCTGAAGTCTTGGCTCCATCCACACAACCTGCAATTGAGGAGCCTAGAAGACATACCACGATAAAGAAGTAGTATCAGCCCAAGAGAAGGCGACCAATGTAAATGTATTTTTTGGCAATGTAATGGTCATTTTGACCATTATAATATTATGAAAAGACAATGTAATGGTCATTGAATACATTTGTATTGTTTTGAAAGGATAATGTAATTGTACATGACTCTATTTTTTTGGGAATTCCTTATATTTTGTCGTGTTATATATATATATATATATATATATATATATATATATATATATAG